GCTGCACCCATTTCAACATCTGTCAGACAGAGAGACAGAAGAGACATAGGCACCTACACAAAGATAAGAGACAGAAATGTGCATGTAGGCATACAGGTGCTGCAGAGATAGAGTATATATATATATATATATACACACACACACACAGTATATATGTACGTATCGTCATAAGTGTGAACGCCAGTCGCACATTACAGATACACACACAATATGGGAGTTGAGCATTCTGTGCTGTCAGTAGCAAAAGCTGTGGTTTTGGTCAGTGTGTTTAGTGCTTCTCAGAGACTATAAATAGCTACCGGCTTGAGGCACGTGACAAAGGAAACACTATAATTCTTAAATGTCAAGTTTCATTTGAAAAGTCTGGGTCAGAGTGAGAACAATACTGGTGAGGCAGGCAATCCATGCTACTCGGAAGAATTAGATTGCATTTTTACCCGATTAAACTGTTTTTTTTACTATTTCTTGTTCCTTTCATTCTCTCTCCCCCACCCATCTCTCTTATTATTATTATCATCACCTTAAGTGATAGCAATAGGAACTGTGTGCAGCCCTCCAGGTATGGCCTAGACCCTCATTACAATAACACATTGTAGTGGTTCGCAAGCAAGAGGACCTAGGTTTGATTCCTAGGCAGGGAGAAACGTTAGGCAAGTTTCCTTACTCCACATGCTTCTGTTTCCCTAGCAGTCAGTAAGAACCCAGTTGTAAGTCGATTTGCAGATCACTTTTCAGGGGGTAATAATCCCTTCAAAAAATAAACAAATACTAATTTGGTCACTCAATCCACGCCTGTTTGTGGGACACAGCTGTGTGTAATTGGCTGCCGCAAATAGCCCACAAAATATACATTAAATTCATTTATAGTATATTCTGCGAAGCACTGTGAGACGTCTAGATGTGATAAGACGCTATATGAAATGCAGGGATTATTACCTCCGTCTACACTCCGCCCCCGCCCTTCCACCAGCTATTGACTATTCAATCACACCCATCTATAGTTTTTAATTTCTGTCCTCTTGCATTCTGAAAGGATCTCTTCCTCAATGACAGCGGGACAAGAAGATGTGGCCCATTTTAAGATACCACTTGACACCAGGTAACTCTAAAATGTTTCCGTTTGTGGCTGTAAAGTTCCACCTTATCCTCATGCCTGCAACAGCCAGGTTATTCTCTTCCTCCTCACCAGCTCTATGGCCTGAGCAGCCACCGTATATGATAGCAATAGGAACTGCGTGCAGCCCTCCAGGTATGGCCTGGACCCTAAACACCAACCCCCACCCACCCACCACTCTCCCCAACACCACCACCACTATGTACAAGGCTCACTTTCCCAGCACTCAAAACAAAGTACATGGTGATCTCACCACCTTATAATAATAATAATCCTTGCATTTCATATAGCACCTTATAACATAAGAAATGCTAGATGAAAAAAGACCAAGGTCCATCTATTTCACCTACCATCTTCCTGACGGTCGCATGCGCATATGTCCCAAACTACCTAGATAGTATATCCCACAATACAATACCAAGTTACATTTGTAAAGCCCCTTTCACATCGAGAGGATGTCCTAAAGCGATAGTCAGGGATTAGGACCTGAGCTGGGGGAGGATGGAAGCCAGAAGCGTGGCCAAAGGCACGGTCAAAGAGGAGGGTCTTGAAGTATGCCTTGAAGGAAGCAAAGGAGTGAGCAAGGCGAAGGGAATGTAGGATTAAGTTCCAGAGGGTGGGGGCAGAGAAGCTGATGGCCCGATCGCCAATGGAGCAGGCTGACCGAACAAGGCGCCCAGGTTCCTGACTGGCTTGGTGAGGTGGAGTGTGTATCCGTGGATGCTAATGCTGCCAGTACCTGAGGTGCAGAGGCGCTGGTGTGAGCCAATCGGGAGAGCTTCGGTCTTGCTGACGTTCAATTGTAGAAAGATGGCTCTCATCCAGGACTTAATGTCTGATAGGCAGTCTGTCAGGACATCAGTGGTCGTGGGGTCGAGGGTAGGGGCAGAGAGATAGAGTTGGGTGTCATCCACGTACATGTGGAAGTTGACCCCATGCCTGCAGATGTTGTCATCAAGAGGGAGTATCTACAGGTTGAAGAGGGAGGACCGATGACAGAGCCCTCAGGAACACCGCACAAGACGGTGCGGGGGCTGGAAATAATGTTATTTCCTAAAAAAAACCTGTAACAACTTGCATTTATATAGTGCTCCTCATAGCGCCTCTCACTCGGGGTAATGTCCCGAAGATCTTATCACCTCTCAAATCGCTTCACAGGTTATACACGCATGCAGACAGGTAGTCTGTGAGGGAAATTGGGAAATTGCCCAGGGTGGTGTTGGCTAATCTTCTCCACCAGGTGGAGAACGGGTTGGCTCTGCTTTGTCCGGGAATTGTGGTTGTGTTTACACTGGAGCAAAGCAGCCTGGCTACTTTGCTCTATTGAATTGACTATATTGTGTGCAAAATACGGCAGTCAATTGTGCATAGCAGTGTCCCACAAATAGTCGTGGATTGAGGGACCAAATTATTATTGTTTTTTTTAAAAAAAGGGATTCTACACCCGGAAAGGTGTTCCACCAATTGACTAACAACCAGGTTCCTACTTACTGCTAGGTAAACAGAGGCATATTGAGTAAAGAAACTTGCCTTAGGTTTCGCCCTGCCTGGGAATCAAACCCAGGTTGTGAGGCAAATGCTCTTACCACTATGCTATAGGACTCTTCTCTGTGTTGCAAATTTCAAGAGATGAAGAGGCTGCTCATGGCAGAAAAACACCTCCGGAATGAGATGGAACTGAAACCGTCCATGGTTTAATCTGCTTGAAGGATGACTGTCCCTGACCTGCACATTCCCTGTCAGTACAGGAAGCGATCAGCGTAACTTATCCATCTCTGAGCCATCCAACACACTATCTCCTGCATCATACAGGCCGAATTAGCCGGAAATATCTTCTGACATGGGATTCCCTTCCTACTGCTTCCTTTCACCCCTCCTTTCTGTAGCTCCCTCTCAGACACGCTTTGGGAAGGGAATAAGGAACGATGGAGTCTGCAGTCAAGGGTGATTGGAGCCAAGACCTCCCAAACCACAGGAACGCCTGGACCTCCAAGTGATTGGAATGCCTCACACACACTCTGTGCTGTGAATTATAACATATACCCTGGTACAACATTGGACCCTAAAAGAAAGCACAGCCCAATGTGTCTCCTCCCTGCTGCATGGCGTTGGTCTGGTGATGATATTACACAGACTCCAGTGTATAGCATTTCTGGGGCCAGGCTGCTTTGCTCCAGTGTAAACACAACTACAATTCCCGGACAGAGCAGTGTCCACACGTTTCTCCACCTGGTGTAGAAGATTACCCAACACCACCATGGCAATTACCCAATCTCCTTCACAGCCTACCTGCCTGCGTGTGTGTACCCAGGATCACAAAGGACTTGAATATTTTCACACTGCTGGAACCAGATCCTTTTGAAGGACTGACCTCAAGGCAGGAACCCACCAGAGGTCAGAACCACACAAGCCCTTCAACACCGCAAAATCACTCGGATTGTACAGATTTTTATACAAAAACAGAAGGTAGGAATTCTCATTTATAGAATGTCATTCACCTCAGCAGGATGTCTCAAAGAATTTGACACTGCAAGTACACCCATTGGATGGCACTCTGTCCCTTTAAGATCTCCCCTTTCCTATCAATTGCAATATTTCAAGCTATGTTCCCCCACATCCCAGAGCACAGCATGGCACAATTAGCTTGACATTAGCGCACATGGAGAGAAGACAGCAGAGCATCCAGAGAGCTGCATTTGTCAGGAGGCATTAAGCAGCTATTACCAGGCTCTTCGTTTGCAAACACAGGCTAATTAGGTTTACATTCATGATGGGAGTGGCTGTGTGCTCACGGCATGCAGCCATTCCAGTGTGCGAGATTCACTATTGGGACGAGCACACATTATAAATTCATTTAGCAACATCACCATCTCCGATTGTGACACCTACAGTATTTGATCTCACACTCCCTCCCTTTCCAGCCTCAATTATATCCAGGCTGTTCATTTGGAATGAATTCAGAAATAACAGCCAAATTTCTGTTCCACACAAATGCCTCACTCAGAGCTCCAGAGGCACAATTTCTAAAACATGAGACACTATTCATACCACTGCCTGGGAGGGCTAAGTGTCACTAGGCTCTATGGTCACTCGAGGTCAGGCTCCACATTGTCCTACACTTGTACTGGCTGCTTTCAGGGAAGGTACCGATAAGCAACACACAACTACAGCTCCCAAACTCGACACACAATATAAATTGCTACTCATCCTGGATATACATATATGTATGCCATCAGTCCCCAACATGTCCACACGCCTGCATTACATTTCCCGTTAGTCCCTGGAATGCCCTTTTGCAGCAATTCACAGAAACCTTATTTTAATTTCCTTAATTTTCCAGGGGAAACTGGCTCATTGGTGGATCACTGTGTACAGCGACATCGCTGCAACTGATTAGCTGCCCTGCTGACCCAACAGCAGTCACTATACTTTAAAATAACCCACTGAGTGAGGTGCTTTACTTAGCCATCACTAAGGTGATGGATCAATGCAAGTACCATTCAGATATTTCATGAATCAAAACCCAAGTCGTAATGAACTGACCAGCAACTCGAATGGAAGCCCAACCAGTTCTAGACTAGAAAGAGTTAAGAGCATCTAAAAATACTGGTACCCAGTAGCGTGCCTTTTCTTAACCCCACACCATCTGTTCCAATCTATACTCCAGCTACATTACATCAGCAGCACATTCCACAGCCAGCAGAAAGCTCCAAAAATAGTCGGCAGCCTGGTTTCCCTTCCTGCTTCTGTTGCAGCCTTTAACAGCTTTGCTGAAGCTCCGGCCACTCACTGGCTCTGTGCCAGGCCGCCTGCTCTAACCAGTGCTCAGCATATGATTTAAACTACAACAACTTGAGGGAAATGAGAGCCAGTGGTCACCGCTTACCTGCCTGGCTACTTCAAACACTCTTCCATCAGCCATTGGCCAAATACTGGCATCAATTTAGGAGGTGGGGGCAGCAACACGTTGGGGCCAATCCCAGAGCAGTATTATACCATGTGTTACTGAAAACAATGTTCCTCTGTAGTTAATAAATACACCATGTGTCACTAATACCACAGGTTGTAAAAGCTTTTATCATTGCATATCAAGAAACGGTGGATTCTGTCCACTGGCTGCCCGTCACACAGAGTTCAAGATCCTGGTCTTCACCTTCATGTCCTCCATGGTCTTGCTCCCCCTTATCTCTAAAACCTCTTAACCCACCCCTAACCCCCATCATCATCCTGCCGGCTTCCTTCGCTCAGTGGGCTCCAGCTTGCTTCATGTCCCCCACCTCGCCTGCCCCACTATTGGCGAGCGGGCCTTCTGCCACTGCCCCACCATTGGCGGACAGGCCTTCTGTCACTCTGCCCCCTCTGGAATTCTATACCGCAGTCCGACTGCCACACCCCCTCCCTTGCGTCCTTCAAGACCCATCGCTTCAACCCTCCTTTCGATCTCCCTGCTTCCCCCCTGCCCTCCACCCTCCCCAATCCTGACCCCCAACTAAATGACTGACGAATACACTGACTGTCCAGCACCTTGGGACGTCCTCCCCGTGTGAAAGGTGCTATACAAATGTAATGTTGTTGTTGAATAAGGCTAAGGATAAACTGATCACCTAATGAAACCCAGAGACACGTGACTATTAATTCCCAATGAACACAGGTAGGGAGTTTTCAAGATGGGAATATGTACTGTACCCTTCTACCTTCCCTCACATCCGGTCCCTCACCAGCACCGCTTTCTTCCACCTCCGACGCATTACCCGTCTCTGCCAATACCTCTCCTCAAAAGCCGCTGAAACCCTAGTCCATGCCTTTGTCACCTCTCGGCTGGACTACTCTAACCCCCTCCTCGCTGGTCTCCCATCTACCACCATCCATAAAAATCCAGATCATTCAAAACTCTGCCGCCCGCATTCTCACCCGCGCGAACCTCCGCTCCCCGATCACCCCAGTCCTTGCCAGACTGCACCGGCTGCCTGTCCCAGAGAGAATCAATTTCAAGATCTTGGACGCCTAATAATAATCCCTCCAAAAAACCAAAAACAATAATAAATTGGTCAATTTTAATCTACGATTGTTTGTGGGACATTGCTGTGCGCAATTGGCTGCCGCGTTCACCCACAAATATACAGTCAATTCACTTTACAGTATATTCTGTGAAGCGCTTTGGGACGTCCTCCCGACGTGAAAAGCGCTGTATCAAATGCAAGGATTATTATTATTATCTTCACCCTTGTATTCAAGTCCCTGCACTTCGCTGTACCCCCCGACCTCCTCTCTCCTCAAAACAGTACCCGTTGCCTTCGTTCCTCCGGGTCTGGCCTCCTCCTCGTCCCCCGAGTCCTCCGCTCCACCCTCGGCGGCCGTACCTTCAGCCACTATGCCCCGAGGCTCTGGAACTCACTTCCTCACTCCCTTTGCCTCGCTCCCTCCCTTCCTATTTTCAGGTCTCTGCTGAAGACCTTTCTTTTCGACCGCGTCTTTGGTCACTTCTTCCCCCTCCCCCTGGCTCAGTCCCGGGATCCGTTACTGTGAAGCGCTCTGAGACGCCGTCCGGCCTGGAGGGCGCTATATAAATCCAAGTTGTTGTTGTGCATTTCTCAATCACAATACAATCTCACTCCACGAGTCTACACATAGACTCGCTCCATTCACCTGATTGTAACTGTAATCACTCTGAGTGTAATAAACCAGTTTCATTCACATCAATGGCTTGCAAGCTGTCTCACTCTTGCTCCCTTGTAATCTAGTCAGCAAGTGGCCTGACCTTGGCTTGTGTACAGCACCTCCTTTCACCATTAGCAAGCAATAAAATCTCATATTTTGCTTTGGTGAAAGACAGAATATGGTACTGTAAAACACCAAGCTATAAATGTGCGGCAGAGAGGAGGTGAGTGGAAACAAGACTCTGCTGCCTGACTCCGAGGTTTGGCAACAGTGCAACAAGCTGGATTAGAATGGGCAGTGGCTCGCGGCTTTGAAAGTGGAGGTTGTGTTCAGTCTAAAGACCCACTCTCACTAGGGAATTACTGCTTATTTACTTTCTTCTCTGTGCTTGGGAGACCAGTGCTGAGCAAAGGTTACTGCAGTTCAAATCTGCTTCCAGTGGTTGGGCTGGGCTCTCTCCAGGGGTTAGTCAGCTTGTGAATGTTGGGCTGATGTGAATTCAGCACCAAGCACAGGGTTGCTGGCATTGTGTGTGTGGCCTGGGCTAACAGAGGAACGGACACACCCAGTTGCCATAGCTCGCTCCAGTAAAAAGGACCGAGGAAGTGGTAGTTGCTGTGGCAACGGAACAATTGTAGAAGCTTGGGTAAATATGCTCAGGTTTGGTCAGTGTTTGCTGAGCAGAGACAGCGGAATACAGTCACAGCTTTGCACAAACCAGGGCTTACATTCAGCACATGGAAACTTCATTCCCAGAAACTTCAACATTAGCTCCTAGTTGTGTAGAATTTAGTTTATGTTTACTGCACTAACCCATGTTATAAGCCTTACATTTGACAGAGGCTATAACCTTGAAAATTCCTTAAACACTTTACAAATAATGAATGTAAAATAGTTGCCACAACTGGAAAAATGGACAACAGATTTACTCCCATAGCAATCTTAAAATACCAGGCCTTGGTGGGGGTGGTGGTGGGGGGGGGGTAAAGAATCCTTCCACCCACCTCCATGCTCTCACCATAGCCACAGGAAAGCATAACCGTTTAGTCTGGATTATACAGTAGTCCACTGCAGGGCAGCAACAAGGTTGAAGTAAGTAGCAAAAGGAAATGAGGAAAGTCTTGGCCTATAAAAACTATACAAGTGTGTAGGAGATTCAGGAGATTACGGCAGACAAGTTCCACAGCATCGAGGTACTTGGAAAAAACAAGTTAGAGGAAACTGCTAGTTTTGTTTTTAGCAGAGTGAGGAAGAAAGAAGAGTATGTACTTTGGGGGAATTTGAGATTAGGAGAACCAACAAAAAGAAAATTTGGAGAAGCAATGACTAAGTAACAGTCAACCAGACGAGCTATTAAAGCCCCAGTTCAACAGGTTCTGAATGGTAAACAAGTTTAGATTTAATTACAGACATCTGTTCTGCTGCACCTTGCAAGGAGCACACACCAGCCATTAGTGAAATAAATGGCTGGTTACAACCACCGCCAGCCATGCTCACACTAACACCCTCACCGTCTAGCCAAGGGCTTAAGTCATGAGGTTGTGTGGGTAAACCAAGGCATAACGTGACAGTCAATGAGAGATGGGGACATGATGCCAATTAGTGTCTATTGGGGTTCCAAGACAACTTTCCAAGATAAATGTGGGAACAGCCTTGAACCCAAATCACAGCCAAAGAGCAGAGAACAAGCACCATTCTTCCTACCCAACCCACTGCCCTCTTGACTCGTAGTTTATTCTGGTATCACCCAACCTCAGGCTGCCCAACTCATAAACTGCCCTCTGCTCCAGCACAAACGACACTTCCCAGTATCCACATTTATGAAGTGCAGAGCTTGTAATCATTTTGAAACGTTACCATTCAGCAAGAGGGCAATTAATGGCATTTCTTAAAAGAATGAAATTTTTATGCATCTCTTTCATTGTCTGTATACAAGTATGTCCGACTCTCACTCCGTCCCACTCCAAAACTACCATCCTTCCTAAGGGAATATGGCACCCACCAATAGGGCTGGTATTTTCTTCTGCTGCACAGGTTAATTGAAGCAGACTTTAAAAATGAAAGTGGCTAAAATATTTCTCTCAAATTGAATAAGAGTTTGTTCGTCAACCACTGCAATTACTGTGCACAGTACCCAATGTGAACTAAAGCTTTTGCAGCTACCCACGTCACATACCTTCACACTGTTCAGCCTCTCTAACGTGGAGATTCTTTCCTTTTTTTATTTTTTTTTAAAAAAGCCCATGGGGGAGGTGGTAAAATCAAGACTGTGGCTTCTGGGAACCTCAGACATTCCTTTTGACTTAAGGAAAAAAAATAAGCAAGTTCTAGAAATTCCATCTTAAAATGACAAACCAGCTGAGAAGGACAAGTAAGAATTCGGGGAGTCATTGTTTTGAGGGAAAGAAACGAATAGGTCAGAATCCAATCAATCTACTGGATATTTCCAGTCATTTGTGTTTTGTTTCGGGTTTCCAGCACTGGACTGAAGCGCACTGCGCAGGATGAATGCGAGTCTGTTCCCCGGGAAGCCTAGAGGGGCGACCGGCTCAAACACCAAACTGGCACAAGGCAGAGGAAATTCCGTCTGCTTTCTTCTGGCAGAATCCGACATTCCAGCTTCAGCAGCTCATAAAAATAATAAACACTCAGCAATTTTAACCCAGTCCGTAAACATGCAGTGGCCTAGCTCCCAGGATGAGCTGCTCTTGTATCTCGAGACCATTATCGGGGTCTGAAACACCTTGTAGTGGCCAGAGCCTCCGTACAGCTGCAGGACAGTTTCTGTTTTTAGTGCTGTCCCCAAACCTTCTGGCTTCACTTGGAGAGTTCTGCAATCTATAGAATCCTGTAGAGAATGAACTACTGGTGGCCAGCAGCCTTCACACTGACATACACAACCCACCCCACAAAAAAATCATTGTTACCCAGTGGCCAAATGAGGTGCTGGCCAATTATACATGTGAAACTTCCAAAGGATTTGGGTGGGTGGGGTGGGGGGGGAAGAGGGAACCATTAAACCATTGAACAGACTACAAGAAACCACAGATTTGAGCTGTGCAGAGCAAGTTTAGGAAGTATTGGTTTACAAAGGGGATAATGAACAAGGGACCAGGATATGTGGTTGAGGCCAGGACAGTGGATTTAAATTTAAAAAAAGTTGGGTGCTGAAACTCTGAACGAATGAGATCAACTAAGGGCTTTCTCCATCTTTCTTGTGACAGTGACACCAGGAGGTAGGTACCTGTTTGAAGGCTGCACTGCAGGCACACACTGCACCGAGCGGAGCAGGTCAGGTCACGTCAGGTTTGTGTTCTGCAGGGAGAGATTAATGCACGTTCCCACTCAAACCACTCTTCCAATGCCACAAGTCAGATCACCCGCAGACAGCACAGATGTGCTCTGCTGTCAAACACCAAGCCCTCTACCAGTGACACCAGCTGGGAAAGTACTTCACATTATGTCCCCGAGCAAGACTCAAGAGACACTTTAAGCTGCCAGAATTTTTTCCTTTGAGGACTATTGTAAGATTGACTCTCTTCACCACCCAAAATA